TCCTGAGCACACTCGCGCACTCACGCGCGCAGACCACGGATGCACGTAGAGTGCCCAGAGATTTGTTTTGTGGTCCAGGGTGTAGGGTTTAGGGTTTAGGGTTTTGTCGCTTAGAGTTCCTTTTGTTTGGTTTGTGGTTAAAAGAGTTGTAGTCAGGGTGTGGGGCATAAAAAGTTGAAGGGGGTTTTGGGGCCCGAGCATCTAGGACTTTATCCTTTATGGTTTTGAGGTTTCCTGGCAAGGTTGCAAGTCGGTTGACATCGCTGGAGCCCGAAACCCTAAACCTAAACCCTAAACCCTAAACCCTAAACCCTAAACCCTAAACCCTAAACCCTAAACCCTAAACCCTAAACCCTAAACCCTAAACCCTAAACCCTAAACCCTGAACCCTGAACCCTGAACCCTGAACCCTGAACCCTGAACCCTGAACCCTGAACCCTGAACCCTGAACCCTAAACCCTAAACCCCTAAACCTAAACACTATACCCTGAACCCTACGTCGCTTGCAAGGCTTGTCCTCTCCATGGTCATTCCCAAAGTGCCTCGGACGAGTAGGGCTGTGCATAGGAGACTACCCGGAGGTCTTTTTCCCTCCAACCCTAAACTCTAGGCCCTAAACTCTAAACCCCAAACCCGAAACCCTAAACCCTAAACCTTAGACCCTGAGCCCTATATACACCCTAAACCCTAACCCTAGACTTGAACCCTTAACCTTAAATCATTTTCTTATGGAGGTCGGGCAACTTCCAAGATTTGAAGAGCGCACCCGAAGACGCGACTTTAAAGCGGGGGCCCGGATCAAATGAGGGCTTATAGGGTTTAGGGTAACATGTCCCTAAACCCTAGCCCCCTAAACCCTAAACCCCTAAACCCCTAAACCCCTAAACCCCTAAACCCCTAAACCCCTAAACCCCTAAACCCCTAAACCCCTAAACCCCTAAACCCTAACCCCTCAACCCCAACCCCTAAACCCCTACCAAAAAACGAAACCCCAAACCCCTAAACCCT